GTTTCTTTCAGGGGAGCCACACAAAGCAGTGCTCAGGGCTTACTCCCTGCTCTGTGCTTAGGGGCCACTCCTGACAGTGCTCAGGGACCCACAGGTGGTGATTTGGATCAAACCAGGATTGGCCACAGTCAAGACAAGCATCCTATCCGCTGTACTATCTCTCTGGCCCTGCAATGTGTATTTCTCATTGAGCCACATCAAGAGAAATACAATATCATGGGGCTGGAGCAATAGCACAGCAGGTAGAGTGTTTTTGCCTTGCACGTGGCCAACCCGGGTTCGATTTCCAGCATCCCATATGGTCCCCTGAGCACTGCCAGGAGTAATTCCTGAGTGCAGAGCCAGGAGTAAACTCTGTGCATTGCTGGGTGTGACCCAAAAAACAACAACAAAAAGAAATACAATATCAGATTGTATAACTGTCAGTATTGCTAAGTTTGATCACTGGATTACTCTGCTAATCACAAAACCTTTGAATCCGAATGATTATAAATCTACATTTTTCATTCCTTCCCCTATCAAGATCCCTTCCCTTATTGTTGTTGTGATAACTGGAGGTTGCATACAAGTGCTTGGATGTGGTGCTTGCACATGTGTAGCTGTGGTGCTTGCTAGGTATTGCACACCAGGTGCTGTGCTTGCACACTCAACCACGTCGTTCACCAAGATTTTCATTTCTTTAGCTGCAGCGATTGTGCAAATACTTGCTGAGAGATGTACTTGCTGGGTATTAGACTTTCAGTTAAGGCACAGAGGTTGAACATATGGTCATCATGGTCTGACATCTTTTTAGTTGCAGTGCTTACTGGGGGTAGCATTCCTTTTTGTAGTGTTTACACACACCTGACTGCAGTGTGGCCATAAATTGCTTGCAGTGCCAGGGATCACAGACAACCAGAGCTGCCCATCTCAAATATCAGAGCTTCTGCTCTGCATCAGAACCTCAATCTGCACATGTGGCACACTGGGTTTTGAACTAGTGACCACATGCTTGTAAGGCAGGCACTCTAAGCCACAGCATTATTTCACTAGGCCCAATATCCTATTTCTTTTGTAGCAATAGTTTTAAATCCACAATCTTTGAATTACATTGGGCATTGGAAAATAGTGACTTCTAAAGTCTATCAATCCTCTATATTCATTAGCTCTCTGTATTCTGTAAAAAGCAGAAGAGCTTTCTTTTATTCCTTCTGCACCCTTTTTCATTATCACTAAGGATGCCTGGATTTCTATTATGGTTATGTCAGTTTCCTTTATTCTTTTTGATGCTTAAATTATCCCAAATTTGGCAGTGAAAATCCTTCAAGCTGGCTCCTATGACCTTTTGACATGACATCATTAGTCCCTAGTACATCCTGTGACCATTTCTCATTTTCAAATTATTTCTATCAGGGCTGAAGTGATAGTACAGTGGATAGGGTTTGGCCTTGCATGCTGCTGACTTGGGTTCTATTTCTACACCCCATATGGTTCCTAACCCGCCAGCAGTGATTCCTGGCCTCAGATTCAGGAGTAAACCCTGAGCACTGCTGGGTGTGTCCCAAACACCAAAAATAGTTATAGTTAAAAAAAATTAAATTCTTTATATCTTAAATTTGTATGTGTCGAGGGTTCAGGGTGGGGGAAATGGGAGGGAACCAAGGGTCACTGGTGGTGGCATAACGTTATATACCTGAAACTATTGTAAACAATTTTGTAATAACCAAACCCTTAGACCCAATACTACTCGTACTGTAAGCAGGGGACCCAAATTATTAAGGACTAAATTTAAAATGTAGGGCTTGGAGAGATTAGCACAGTGAGTATAGTGCTTGCCTTGTGCATTACCAATCTGGGTACTATACCTGATACCACATACAGTTCCCCAAGCACTGCCAGGAGTGATCCCAGAGCACAGAACCCAAGCACAGAGCCAGGAATAAGCCCTAGCACCACTAGGTGTACCCCAAATCCCCAAAAAACAGGTATATGAAGGAATCAGGTCAGAGGGTGGGAGGGATTCTGGGGTCAATAGTGGAAGGAGGGAGACATGGGTGGTGAGGGGGACACTCAAATAGAACTAGCACATCTTCAAATACTTGGAGATAGGAGTACTGTATGCCTGGAATCCTACTGTAAACAACTCTGTAAATCATGGCGTCTAAATAAAAAGTAACAAAAAATAAAATATTTTAATTTAAATTAAATATATTTTAAAATATTTATATGACGCTTACTGCTAAAATCCTGTAACCTCCTGGTTTAAGTTTGATTCTTCTCAGTAACAGAATTTTTTCCTTCTCCAACATGGAATGTTGTTACTTACGGATAATATATTTGGGGTGAAAAAAGTCTATGAAATCATTTCACTAACATTACACGAATGGGTAAATTGTTAGTTTAAGCCTATTTGTATGTTCACTTCAACTCTAATCCTCACACTTTCAAAGGTACCTTTAGTACTTATTCATTGACTAAATTACTGAAGTCTGCTGAGAGTTTGTTTTCAAATTCTGTTGACATCTTCTCATGTCAAAGTGGTTGTATAAAAGGAGCCAAATCACAATTTCTTATATATAATGTGGGGTATAGTCATGCATGTGGTTGCTAAGTTCTCACCAGCATTAGTTATTACAATTCTCCTAACAATTCTTTAACATTTTAATAAAGGTTTCTGTAGTTTTTTTATAACTTATACATAAATAAGTAAATGCAAGCTACCAAGAGTATCCCACCCATATGAAAAGCCTGGCAAGTTACCCATGACGTATTCAATATGCCAAAAACAGTAACAACAGGTCTCACAATGGAGATGTTACTGGTGCTCGCTCGAGCAACTTGATGAACAACGGGAGGACAGTGCTATTGTTTTTCTAGTATGATCAAAGTACACCGAAGGCAGAAAGAATCCTTATCAAGTGTTTTTTTTGAATGTAGGAGTATTGCTATTTATTCAGCCATTGATTCAGCTGATTGAATTGGGCATGAACTCCACCTTACATTTTTTTCCTCTTTTTTTTATAAATTTATTTATTGAATCACCATGAGAGCAGTTACAAAGCTTTTGGGTTTAAGTCTCAGTCATACAAAGATGAAACACCTGTCCCTTCACCAGTGCTCATTCTCCATCATCAAATACCCCACTATACCCCCTATCCCACACCTTCCCCCTACCTGTGGGGCAGATGATTTCCACATTACTCTCTCTCTCCATTGATTTCATTCAATATTTCTACCCCAGACTCGCCATTATTATTTGGGATTTTACCTGAACACTCAGATCTGCCGAAAAGGCAACCGTAGACATTTTTTTTCTATTGTTGGTTATGAATAGCATATGATGTCACACAGCCGCAGCAGTGGCCACACGATTTTGGAATTTGAAATTTTTTTTTTTGCTTTTTGGGTTACACCTGGCAATGCACAGGGGTTACTCCAGGCTCTGCACTCAGGAATTACTCCTGGCGGTGCTCATGGGACCATATGGGATGCTGGGAATTGAACCCAGGTCGGCCGCGTGCAAGGCAAATGCCCTACCCACTCCAGCCCCAAAGAATTCAAAATTTTAACAATTAAATCTGGAGGGATTTCTGCCAAACCTGCTGGGTTCCTAGATTTGTTCCTGAGTCTCTGGAATCATGGCTGTTAAAGAGCTTGATCAGGAACCAGAGGTGGTTCGTGGGCGGCGACTCGGGATCTTGTTGGGGCAGAGAGGAAAGGGCTGGCTCCATCCCAATCCCATGAGGCCCCGCGTGTCTCGTCCCTACAAACCCAAACCTGACTGTCCAATAGCCTCTGGAGGATGGTGGCCACTGAGCCGCCAAGGGGGAGCAGGTGGAGGGACTGCACCCTTTCCCCCTTGGGGTGGCCCAGAGCTGATACCCTACTGCGGGGACTGAATGCATCTCTGCAAAAGCCGCTGGGTTCCAAGATTTGTTTCTGAGTCTCTGGAATCATGGCTGTTATGTAGCTTGATCAGGAGCCAGAGAGGCCGTTCATGGGTGGTCACTCAGGATCTCATTGGGGATGGGGGAGGAAAGGGCCAGCTCCACCCCATCCTGTGAGGCCCCGCATGTCTCATCACTGTGGACCCAAACCTGACTGTCCAGTGGCCTCTGGAGGATGGCGGCCACCGGGCTGCCAGGGGGAACAGGCCAAGGCAAAAAACCTATTCCCACCTGGGGTAGCCCAGCACTGGTAACCTACTGTGGGGACTGGAGTCATTTCTGCCAAAAGCCTCTGGGTTCCGAGATTTATTTCTGAGTCTCTGGGATCATGGCCGTTAAGCAGTTTGATCAGGAACGAGAGAGGCCTTGCCTCCAATTATATAGCTGAGCCAGAGGTGGTTTGTGGGTGTGTCTCCCACATGCCTAACTTTTGGTCTTTTACTTTCTTGGTAAACTTGGCCCCAAGTTGTTGGAGTCTGGCCAAAGGCACAGCAGCAATTTTGGGGTATCTAGAAGTCTGAAGGCACCATCAGGCTGCTGATGCACTCACCTCACAGGTACAGATTGACCTGCTGGCGGCACCATACCCCCTTTATCAAGTGCTTTTTGTGGTTTAAGGTCCACCTCCAGCAGTGCTGAGGGCTTATTCCTGGTGGAGCTCTGGTGGCTACATGGGGTGCCAGGGATTGGGGATTGAACCCAATTGGCTGCACGTAAGGCAAGTATCCTACCTACTGCACTACCTCTCTAGCCCCCTTACCAAGTGCTTTGTATCTGGGCAGGGAGAATCAAATGGTCTCACTATAATACAATAATACAACAATAATAAAATGCATAAAACACAACATGAATTTCAAGTGCTAAGAAGATAGAATAAGGAAAAAACTCTCACTGCCAACTTTCTGTTAAGTTATGTAGAGCTTTTTGAATGGCATGAACTTTTGACATTTCTGAATAGTTAGGGAAAAAGTCAAAATAATTGACGCAAAGTAAGAAAAATGTTAACAGTAAGTGTACATCAAGTTTCCATATTAAAAGGATAACCACAAAGTATACTGATGGTCTAGAAGTTACCTTTGTTCAGAAGAGGAAGGAAATTAGCAGCTTTTTCCTGAAAAACCCTTTGAGCATCCTCAGCTTTCATTGACACTTCCTTTGTCTGTACCAGAGAAAAGCCTTTACTGATCATCTGTGGAAAATAAAATTTCATTCGGATTTTAGGATGAGCTTCAGAGATTAAAATGATATTTTCCTATTTGAATATTTCTCTTTATAAAATGTGACGCAGCACCCTAAGTGTTTTAGTTTTGACTCTAATTCGGGACATTTGCTGTAGCAGGATCTCAGATTCATGAGATTCTTCCAGATGGGTGGTTCTGGTTAAGAATGAGTATTTCAAGTTAACATTAAGCATCAAGTAAAAGTGAAATATCATCAAAATTTAAAACAAAAAACTTTTGGATTGAAATTAACAGAGGAACACTATTTTTTATGTGGGGGTGGAGAGGGGGTTTGAGCTATACCCAGCCATACTCAGGAATTACTCCTGGAAGTGCTTCAGGGGACAATATGGGATACTGGGGATTGAATCCAGATTGCCTGAATGCAAGGAAAATTCCCTACCCACTGTACTATTCCTCTGATCCCCAGATGAATACTTAAGACTGGTGATATTGAAATATCCATTAAGAGGTAAATATAAAGAAAATTATGTTACATTCACTTAATTAAATGCTATAGTTCACTAAACATACCATAATATATATTACATAACAATTATTATAATAAAAAGGGAAATACTTATGTAATAATGTTACTTAATATTTTTCATGTGTTAAAGTAACAAAATAGGAGACTAACACCCAAGAATGGCTGAGATTAGTACCAGGAATTTTACTCCATGGCTTGGAGGCCAAACACACATGCTAGGGGAAAAGGGAGCTCAGAGAGAGAAGGGAACACCAAATAAAGGGTGTTGGGAGGATCCTCCCAGGATGGGAGAAGCATGCTGAAAGCAGACTATAGACCAAACATAATTGTCACTCATTGCTTCTTTTGCAAACCACAACACCCAATAAGAGAAAGAGAACAAAAGGGAATGCCCTGCCACAGAGGTAGGGTGGGATGGGGGGGATGGGGTGTGGGAGGGATACTGGGATCCGTGGTGGTGGGAAATGGGCACTGGTGGAGGGATGGGTATTTTATCAATGTATAATTGAAACCCAAGCACAAAAATTTTTAAGTCTACAACTGTACCTCATGATGTCTTACTAATAAAATTAAAATATATATTTTTCACGTGTGGGTGGGTGCTCTGTGCTCATAAGTTTCTCTCAGAGATGTTTGCGGGACCGTTAGATGCCAGGGATTAAATCTGGGGCTTGTACATGCAAAGCATGTGCTCAGTCTTTTTGAGATTTCTCTTCAGCCCCAATAATATTTATTTTAAAATCATTATGTAAAAAATAAATAAATAAAATCATTACGTATATATATATATGTGTGTATGTATTATACAATAATACACCTGGAGCGATAGCACAGCGGGTGCCTTGCATGCGGCCAATCTGTCCGACCCGAGTTCAATTCCTCCAGCCCTCTCGGAGAGCCCGCCAAGCTACCAAGAGTATCTCACCCTCACAGCAAAGCATGGCAAGCTACCTGTGACTTATTCGATATGCCAAACACAGTAACAACAAAGTCTCACAATGGAGACGTTACTGGGCCCACTAGAGCAAATCGATGAACAATGGGAGGACAGTGCTACAGTGCTACATACAATAATAGTAATTATAGTCATGGGAATACTAATATCCCCAGCAGTTAAATGTACTTTACATGTATAATGCGCATAATCCTTTTATGAGGTAGGTACTATTACTGCCCTCAGTTTACGGATGAGAAAACTAAGACACAGAGTGGTTAAGAAATTTGTTCAAGGGCAATCAACTATTATATAACAGAGGTCGGATTTGAACCCAACTAACCAGATTAGACATTAAATAAATTAAAATGGCAATTCAAAGTGGGGTAGATTATAAGTTTACTTAAAAATATTTTTCTAGAACTGAAAAGATAGTTCAATGGGTTGGAGTGCAAGCTTTGCATATGGGAGGCTGGGGGTCAATCCTTGGCACAACATAGTCCTGAGCACCAAGCCAGGAGTGACCCAAACAACAAAATAAAAATTCCTCCAAATTTATTTCTACTCTTCTGTATTTCTACCATTATTTGCAATGATTACATATTAGTTTTTGAAATAATTTTGAGAGTTTTTTTGAAAAATAAATCAGTCAGTCACTTAAAGCAAAGCTTATTTGGTTTTTAATGATAAAACATAATATGGTCAATAGAGAAGACAGGAAAAATTAAAAAATGGAAATAAATATTAACTGAGGAGTCCACTTAAACATGCCACTGTCATAAATGTATGTCTCCTTTCATCATCCAGGTTTAACCCTAGGAGAAATAATACATTGGGAAATTCACATAAAAGAAAACTACTCAAACGATTTTCCTAAGAAAAACTACAACTATTAATGTTTTACTATATAAAATTTTCTAGTCTTACTTAGAAAACATTGTAGATACTTATACATCATGTTTTACAATTTTTCATTTACTCAATGGGCTGGAGTGATAGCCTAGCTGTAGGGCGTTTGCCCTGCACACAGCCTACCCAACTGACCCGGGTTCAATTCCTCCGCCCCTCTCAGAGAGCCCGGCAAGCTACCGAGAGTATCTCGCCTGCACGGCAAAGCCTGGCAAGCTATCCGTGGCGTATTCGATATGCCAAACACAGTATCAACAAGTCTCACAATGGAGACGTTACTGGGCCCACTCGAGCAAATCGATGAACAACGGGAGGACAGTGCTACAGTGCTACGTTTACTCAATAATAAACATTTCCCAGTTATCCTATCATCCCAGTTATCAAGTTTTTCTTTTTGGAGGAATGGGCCATACCCAGTTGTGCTCAGGGATCACTCCTGGAGGCGTTTGAGGGACCATAGGCCATGATGGGGATCAAATTGGAGCATGCTGCATGAAAAGTAAGAACCTAGCCCCCTCTACTATCTCTCCGGCCCTCTACTGTAACTTCTAATGGAATATGGTACTTCATTCTTTAATTTTTGATTGCTTTTGGACTTGGTGGTGCTCCGGGGCTACTACCCTGCTCAGTGCTTGGGGGACAATGGTGGGGTGGTGCTAGGGACGGAATCTGAGGCTCCTGCACACAAAGTATGTCTTTCAGCCCTTTGAGCCATTTTCCCAGCCTTCTAGCCAGTTGATGACATTTCCTTTAGCAGCTCTATTATTCCATACTATCCCATCAAATTGGATTCAAACTCAAATCCTATTTCAGAACCCTCAATGCTATCTCAGAAAAAAGAAACATAAAGTAGCAGAAAATTACATGGCCATCACTGCCAGATGATTCCAAGGTTATCTGAAATATCAGAAACAATCCTCCATCTGTTTCTAATTTTCTAGACTGCTCAGCACCTCTCGTTTTACAGTCAGACACATAAACTGACAAAAGTAGATGATTAATTCAAAATACTCTTACCTAAAAATAGTGAACTATGAAGCAGTATCTATTTTGGCATTTCACAGCGGCAGATCTTTGAAGATATTTTTTGGTGAAAATCCTTCTACTTTTAAAGGCTTGAAAATTGTGAGAAATATGCAACTTAAATTATGCAATCAATACTTTACTTCCAAAAACTTCAAATTACTTTTATCTAATTCAGCCTGGGCCTATCTGTGACGTAGATAAAAGGAAGCAAGTAATCTAATTTTTAGGTAAGAAAAACCAAAGTCCAGTAACTTATCTTAATTCCTTTCTACAGAATATGCTTCCTATTTAAAAATCCATTATGATGTGTTTGATTTGTAAAAACAGTGCAAAAGAAGATTCTGTGATACTCTCAGAAGTTAATAAAACTAGAGTAAGCAGTCAGTCCAACTCTAAGTTGTCCAAATATATTTTTGTTATAACACAAGATTCATGCTCTTTAAAAAATATAATAATACAATTTTTTTGTTTGGGGGCCATACCTGGTGGTACTCAGTGCCTACTCTTGGCTCTTTGAATAGGATCAATCCTAACAGGCTAGGGGGACCATGTAAGATGTCAGGGATTGAACCTGGGACAGCCGTGTGCAAGGCAAGGGTCCTAGCCACCGTACTATCTCTCCAGCCCTATAAGTCTCATAATTATGTAGTTTTTACATATATTTTCTTAGATTATTTGCTTATTTATAAACATATTATATGTAATTTTTATCTTATTATGTACACACACATATATATCAGGTCTTTTAGTATATATTGGTACTCTCTTTGCATTTTTTTCACTCCTTAATTCCATGCTTCAGAATTAAAAAAGATACTTCTAGACAAAAAATATCAGGGTTTATTTCCAGGCTAAAGGTACCATCTGAAGTCACTGTGTTTTTAGTCACATCCCTGCTCCACCAGGCATTCGTCAACCTTCTCTTATCACTGAAGCAGCACAGTAGTGTCATGCTTAAAGATTAAGATTGGTTTACAAAATCAGATGGTGACTTACACAACAAGACTGCCTGGATATAAGTCAAGGCTCTGCTGTTTACTAGTTGAGTCACATTTTGAAAGACATTTACCCTCTCTGTGGCTAATCTTCCTTATTGATAAAAAGGGGAACAAGGACATATGTTTCAAAGGCTATTCAGAATTAAGGGAATAAATTCAGTTAAATCCCTCACAACAGTGCCTGTTATATAGCCTAGCTTCTTAAACTGTGGGCCGTGACCCCATATGGGGTTGCATAACTGAATGTGGGAGTCATTTAAAAATAAATGCCTTTATGATTTATCAGTAAATGTTTGACTTGTATATATAGTTTTGTATGTGCATCTACCAAGAGTCTTGTAAAAAAATCTCAAGCAAAAAAGGGGCCGTAAGTAGAAAATGTTTAAAAAACCCTGGCATATAGAAAATACCATGTAACTGTCAACAATTATTATTACTGTTCGTTATCACTGACTTTCTGATTTTTATAGCTTGTTCTGTAAACCAGAAGAACATCTAAGAAACATCACTCTTGCTTGAAAAATTATTTTCAAGGACACAGAACAGTAACTTTTCACAAATCAGAAACCAGCATTCTGAAAGGCTAAGAACACCTGATGATGACTCATGAGGAAAGAAAGTGTCGCAGGCATACCTGGAAATGTATCATTAACAGTTTTGCAAATAACTATAACTAAATAAAAAATTACAGAAAGGAAAAAAGTTTTCCTATTGGTGCTTTTCAAAACATGCTACATATATTTTATATTTCAAAAGGATAAATGTTTATTAGACATTTAATGATATTATATATTTTAAAATGCATCCACTGTGTCAGCCATATGCAAGGCAAGGAACTTACTCAAAAGTAAAATTTTATACACAGTAGGGCAATCATGACTCTAAGAAATGGCTATTCTAATTTGTACTGTAATTTTTGTTCTTAGTAATTTTCTCTAATAAGACTTGCAATAACAACATGCTATATTTTTTATACCAACTTCTTATTACTTTCGTTTCCGGGGTGCGGACCACGTACTCGAGGCACTTCCGTCCCCCTCTCACTCTCTCACACAATAGCACAGCGGTAGGGCGTTTGCCTTACATGCAGCCAATATGGCCGACCCGAGTTCGATTCCTCCGCCCCTCTCAGAGAGCCCAGCAAGCTACCGAGAGTATCTCGCCTGCACGGCAGAGCCTGGCAAGCTACCCATGATGTATTCGATATGCCAGACACAGTAACAACAGTCTCCAATGGAGACGTTACTGGGCCCACTCGAACAAATTGATGAACAACGGGAGGACAGTTTCTTCAGTTTCTTCTTATTACTTAACCAACAAGTAGTTTTAACCTGAATAATACATGTTTTGAAAACGGTATCTAGATTTTAAAAAGTAACATACACTGTCACTGTCCGCCAGTTGTTCATCGATTTGCTCAAGCAGGCCCAGTAACGTCTCCACTGTGACAATTGTTACTGTGTTTGGCATATCGAATATGTCGTGGGTAGCTTGCCAGGCTTTGCCGTGCAGACGAGATACTCTCGGTAGCTTGCCGGGCTCTCCAAGAGGGGCGGAGGAATCGAACTCAGTCGGCCATGTTGGCTGCATGCAAGGCAAATGCCCTACCTGCTGTGCTATTGCTCCAGCCCAAGATACACTGTAATGAAAAATTTATCTCTCAGATATAATATTAACATGTTTCTTTTTAAAAAAATTTTTAGTAGTGAAACACCATGAGGTACAGTTGCAGACTTACAAATTTTTGTGCTTGGGTTTCAGTTATACAATGATCAAGTACCCATCCCTCCACCAGTGCCCATTCTCCACCACCACTGATCCCAGTATCCCTCCCATAACCCATCCCCCACCATCCCACCCTACCTCTGTGGCAGGGCATTCCCCTTTGTTCTCTCTCTCCTTTTGGGTGCTGTGGTTTGCAAAAGAGGCATTGAGTGACAATCATGTTTGGCCTATAGTCTACTTTCAGCATGCATCTCCCATCCTGGGAGGATCCTCCCAACACCCTTTATTTGGTGCTCCCTTCTCTATCTGAGCTGCCTTTTCCCCTAGCATGTGCGGCTGGCCTCCAAGCCATGGAGTAAAACTCCTGATACTTACCTCGGCTATTCTTGGGTGTTAGTATCCTATTTTGTTACTTTATGTTTCCCAAGGGCTGGAGCGATAGCACATTTGCCTTGCAAGCGGCCAACATGGCCAACCCGAGTTCGATTCCTCCGCCCCTCTCAGAGAGCCCGGTAAGCTACTGAGAGTATCTCGCCTGCATGGCAAAGCCTGGCAAGCTCCCTGTGACGGATTCAATATGCCAAACACAGTAACGATTGTCACAATGGAGAGATTACTGGGCCTGCTCGAGCAAACTGATGAACAAATGGGAGGACAGTGGACAGTGACAGTGATGTTCCCCAGATGAATGCAATATTTCTATTAACATGTTTTTTGATATCTCAAAACCCAGAAGTACTTTTTCTATATCTTATCAGATTGATATCATATATTTTTAAAATATCAGATATTGGCACAATTTAAAACAATAAGTTGTGAAAATCATACAAATATAATTGGGATTCTGTTGCTTTGAAAACTATGCTTCAAGTATTCTTTGCTGATTTCAGACATGGATTCTTATATTGTAGAATGTACAGCTACAGAGAGGTCATTTCCCCCATAAAAATCATTACTTTTATTTTGTGGTTTAAAAGCATTACTTCTGTTTTGTGTTTGTTTTGGTGTCCATACCCAGAGGTGCTCAGGGGACTGACTATATGAGGTGCTAGGGATTAAACCCAGTCAGCCTGCCTGCAAAACAAGTACTCTAGAACACTGAGTTATTGTTCAGCCTCTAAAGTCATAACTTTTGATAGAACTATTCCAATTTCAAGAAATACTTTGGAAAAGAGCCCTGATACATCTATGTTCCCGGAAGTTTGATTTTTATATTCAAACATACTCTTCCTGAAGAATATTTGATTAATGGGGGGTAAGGAGCTTGCTTTGCACACAGCCAACCCGGTTTCAACCCACAGCATCCCATACGGTCTCCCCAGCACCATCAGGAGTAATTACAGAGAAGAGTCAGGAGTAATCCCTGAGCACTTTGGTGCCCCCCCCAAAAAAAAAACCAAACCAAAAAAAGAGTTATCTAACTAATGGATAATCAATATATCCTACTGTTGATTCTTTAGGAGCACCATCAACATAGGCCCTGCTGCTTCCGGAGCCCCTCATCTCTATATCCCAAGTTATTTTTCAACTGGAAGCTAATTCTCAAAGAATCCTCTTTACTGGGCCAGGGTGATAGTATAGAGGATAGGGTGCTTGCCTTGCACATAGCCATCTGGGGTTCAACCCCAGGCACCACAAAAGGTCCCCCAAGCAGCACCAGGAGTGATCTAGGAGCACAGAGCCAAGAGAACACTCTGTGCACTCCCAAGTGTGTCCCCCTCAGCGCCCCCCAAAAGAATTCTTTTTACTAAGGGACCTTAGCGAGAGTATCCGCTCATAAACGCACATACTTTGCTGTTCCAGTTTTCACTTAGCTCTTCTACACTACCTCCCCTTTAGGGAAGTAGGGTAACGAGGCGGGGGAAAATAATGTGGAGGTTGCTCTCACAGTCACAAGGGGTCTAACGTTGTATTCCAAATGTCTTTCCTACCCTCTAACCAATTAAAACTCCAATATGCTTATCCACTAAATAACCACAAAAAGATACGACTTTACTATGTATTTAATAAAATCTATTTAATAAATTCATTGGAATTTAATAAATTCCACTGAATTTATTAACTAAAATAGAAATTCTCTGAGAACAGATAATTTTGTATATGTATCTCCATACCCAGCTTATTACTATATACTTTTTTGTTTGGGGGGTTACACTTGGTGATGCTGAGGGGTTACTCCTGGCTTTACACTCGGGAATCACTTCTGGCAGTGTTCAGGGGTGCTGCGGATCAGACCTGTGTTGGCTGAGTACAAGACAAGTGTCTTACTCTCTGTACATTATCATTCCAGCCCCACTATATTTCATTAGCTTTATGTTGACATCAATTATAAGATACATTTCAGATAAATAAAAATGTGAAAGCAGATGTGCTTCCTGTAAGCAATAAAGTGGTCACAGAGAATAACTTGTATATAATAAATGCTTAGGGCCTGAGTGAGTGTACAGCAGGTAGAAGCATTGGCCTTGCACATGGCTGACTAGGGTTCAATCCCTGGTACTCCACACAGTCTCCTAAGTCCATGAGGAGTGATCCCTGAGTACAGAGCCAGAAGAAAGCCCTGAGGACCGCTGAGAATAGCCTTCAAACAAAGAAGAAGGCTTAGTAAGTGTTCACTGAAATATACACACATATACACACACGTTTGTGTGTGCATGCGCGCACACTTTAAAGCCATGTCTGATGGTTCTGAGTGGTTAAACTTGGCTCTGTGCTTGGGGGACCACATGGTGCACTGGGTATTGAAACAGGGTAATTTCATGCAAAGCAAGTGCTTTATCTCTCTGGCCCCTGAACTATATTTTAAACACTATTTTTTACTGTATTTTTATGTAACATGGTTATGCAACTGATAACTTTTAGATTTTTGCTGTTAAATATTACTACACCTTTCACCACCATCAAAATGCCCAAGACCCTCTACCACCAACATCTTAATCAGTTTCTTTGCAAAAGTATTTTAGGGCCTAATCAACAGGTTTATAGGTAAATCTGTAGGGGAAATAGGATACTCACTTAAGGATTCTTTGTTTTGGTTTTATTTGGGGGCCACATCTTGTGAAGCTCAGGACGTACCTCAGGATAACCCCTGACAATGCCTGGGGAGCCATTTATGATGCCAGGGATTGAATTGAGGTTGCTTAAAGGCAAGGCAAGTGCCTTGCACTATCTCTCTGGTTTCTTGGATATATATCTTTAATACCCAATTTAAAAAGAATAAGGTTCTCAGCAAATGGCATGTTTCTATCTATGTGTAAGTCTGTTCCTCTGTTCTCTTTCTCCTTACCTCATCAATTAGTTTTCTAGCATTTGCGATGGTATAATCACCAGCAAACAACACCACCAAACACGATTCATCGCTACTCTTTGGTCTCTGACCCCGGGATACTGGAACAATACTCCTGTTGGCTTCTGTGGAAACACGAACAGTTTGGAGTTCTTCTGTAGTTGGTAGAGGGACATGGTCTTGAACAACAGCATCTTCTGGAAGAAGGCTAAAGTTGAGTTCTCCTGATACAGGTGTAAAGTCATGAATGTTACTCCAGTTGTTGTTGAAGATACTTAACCCTGCATCTTTGAACTGAAAAGCTAATTCAGGGTAGTACCATTGAAAACATCCAAACTTAATATTTGTGGAAGACTCAATAATGGGTTGAGTGGCGCAGCACAAAAAGACTTCCAATTTTCTACAATCCCGCAAACGAAACTGTTGGCAGGCTAATACACACTTACAATCTCGGCAATTCCGGAAAAACACACTGCCTTTCACAGGCCCCAGAAAAATAATGCAGTTAGTACAGTCATCAATAGTAATTGTAGCAGAGTGATCAAAAATATAGATATTACAGTTCTCACAGTCTTGTATAAGGAATTGCTGTCCTGCCACTTTCCCAGGTAAGCGACCCACTGTTTCATCCTTTAGTCCACTTAACATGAAGTCTTTTGGATCAACCTGTAGAGACGAAACACAGACATTAAGTGTATTAGATGGCAGTTACAATTATTTTGTTTGTTTTTGGTTTTGGGCTTCACTTGGGGCTGCTCAGGGCTAACTTCTGGCTATACGATCAGGGATCATTTCTGGTGGGCTCAAGGGACCAAATGGGATGTCAAGGATCAAACCTGGGTCAGCAATATGCAAAAAAGTGCCCTACCCGCCGTACCATTTCTTGCCCTGGCAGCCATAATTCTTTGTGCAAAATATACATCCCTATACCCCCTGACTGCAATACTCTAAGAAAATGAATAACATTTCTCATACCCCAATAAATAAATGAGGGGACAAAACACAGACGGTTACAGATTTAAAAAAAACATCGACGAAGTACAACATGAACACTGTTTGGGTCCTGTTTCAATCTATCAATTATGAAAACATTTTTGGAAACAATTAGAGAAAGTCATAGACACAGAACTGATATTAAGTTATATCAGCTGGACTGATATTAAGGAATATTTTGGCTTTAATCTTTTTTAACTTGTTAGTGGGTGGTGGGTCACAAACGGCTATACTCAGGGCTTCCTCCTGGCCCTGTGCTCTTGGCTCAATTCTGGCAGCATGTGGTGCCAGGGATCGAACTTGGGTCAGCTGCATGCAGGGCAGGCACTTAACCATATCTCTTGGGCCATCTGACCCTTTTTCTTGTGTTGATGTTTCACTTTCGGGCTGGTAAGATAGTGCACAGGAGTTAAGGTGCTTGTCTTGCATGCTGTTAACCCTAGTTTGATTCCATGAACCTCATGGATGCACCTCCAGCAACAACCCCCAAGCTCAGAACCATGAATAGACTCCACTGGCACCACTGAGTGTGACTCCCAAGCCTCCATAAGCAAACTACTTGCTGCACAAACTTCTGAAATTATGCCCGTTTCACAAACATACCCATATAGAAAGGTTTCTCTATCCTTTCAAAAATCGAACATGAGTCTTTGCTTCTAACTTTGATATTTTTAATATGTACAAGATGTCAGGACCTGCACCTACAAATTCTAATAAAACATTTACTGAGTCATTCTTATAATATAACTTTTCAAACTTCATTTCTCCCATCCCATTCTCAACTAAGGCTAACATAACCTTTTCAACAATATTCTTGGAATTTGACAGTTTTTCTTATCTCCTGCCCTCCTTCCATTCATTATTGTTATCATGATGACCGGAGGTTACAAGCATGCCTGAGCAGGGTGCTCACACATTTTAGGTATGATGCTTTCCAGGGGTTGCACACCTGTTATGGTGCTTGCACACTCACAAGGTGCTCAGCAAGAGTTGTACTCTCTTGGTTGTGGTGCTTGCACGTGTGCTCAATGGGGTGAACAGTGTTAGTTGAGATATGGAGGTTATGGCTGAGGTACTCAATAAGGGATGCTGTCATACTCAAATACATCAGGATTGCACTTCCTGGCCAAGATACTGGCATATTTTTAGCTGCAGTGCTCATGGGGGATTGCACTCCATTTTGTAGTTCTTACATATACCTGCCTGTAGTTCGGCCAGAAACTGCTTGCAGTCCTAGGGATTACAGACAACAGTTTTTTTTAAATGTAGTACTGCTATTTATTCAGCCACTGATTAGCTGATTGAATTGGGCATGAACTTCACTTTACTTTTTTTTCATTTTTTATAATTTTATTTATTGAATCACCATGACAGCAGTTACAAAGCTTTCGGGTTTAAGTCTTGGTCATACAATGAAACACCCATACCTTCACCAGTGCCCATTCTCCAAACCCTAAAACCCCAGTATACTCCCATTCCACATCCTCCTCCTACCTGTGGGGCAGATGATTTCCACATTACTCTGTCTCTACTTTGATTACATTCAATATTTTGACACCAGACCCACCATTATTATTTGGGATTTTACCCCAACACTCAGATCTGCTGAAAAGACAACCATAGACAATTTGTTTTCTATTTCTGGTTATGAATAACATATGGTTGTCGCGTGGCTGCAGTAGTGGCTGCGTGATTTTGAAATTCTGAAATTTTGACAATTAAATCTGGAGGGATTTCTGCAAAACCAGCTGGGTTCCAAGATTTGTTCCTGAGTCTCTTGGGTCATGGCCGTTAAGCAGCTTGTTCAGGAGCCAGAAAGGCCATTAGTGGGCAGTGACTCGGGGTCTTGTTGGGACAGGGAGGAAAGGGCCGGCTCCAGCCCTATCCCTTGAGGCCCCATGTGTCTCATCTCTGAGGGCACAAACCTGACTGTCCAATGGCCTCTGGAGGATGGTGGCCACAGAGCCGCCTAGGGGGAGCAGGTGGTGGGAAAGCACCCTTTCCCCCCTGGCATGGCCTGGAGACAGTAACCTACTGCTGGGTCTGGACACAAACAAAAAACACTGTCCTCCCACTGTTCATCGATTTGCTCGAGTGGGCCCAGTAACGTCTCCATTTTTTTGAGACTTCTTGTTACTGTGTTTGGCATTTTTTTGAGACTTCTTGTTACTGTGTTTGGCATATTGAATACATCACGGGTAGCTTGCCAGGCTTTGCTGTGACGGCGAGATACTCTCGGTAGCTTGCCCGGCTCTCCAAGAGGGGCAGAGGAATTGAACCCGGCTCGACCAGGCTGGCTGCGCACAAGGCAAACGTCCTACAACTGTGCTATCGCTCCAGCCCAGGTCTTTTCTGCCAAAAGCCACTGGGTTTCGAGATTTGTTTCTGAGTCTCTGAGATTATGGCCTTTAAGCAGCTTGATCAGGAGCCAGAGAGGCTGTTCATGGACAGTGACTCGGGGTCTCATTGGGACGGGGAGGAAAGGGCCAGCTCCACCCCTATCCCGTGAGGGCCCGCATGTCTTGTCACTGTGGGCCCAACCCTGACTGTCCAATGACCTCTGGCGGTCACTGAGCCGCCAAGGGGGAGCAGGTGGAAGGACAGCACCCTTTACCCCCTGGGGTGGCCCAGCAACAGTAACCTACTGCAGGGTCTGGTCGCTTTTCTGCCAAAAGCCACTGGGTTCTGAGATTTGTTTCTGAGCCTCCAGGATCATGGCCCTACAACAGCTTGATCAGGAGCCAGAGAGGCCATTCGTGGATGGAGATTTGGGGTCTTGTTGGGACGGGGAGGAAAGGGCCGGCTTCACCCCCATCTCGTGAGGCCCCGCGTGTCTTGTCACTGAGGGCCCAAACCTGACTGTACAGACAACAGTTTTCAGTCAACACAAACTTGGCCAAGAGCATTGATTCATTTGAATGCCTAACAACCTGAATCGGACATTTACATTTGAATAGATGTGGCTCACTGCCTGCAGTTTCTATCTTCGTTGTTTACGCACCAACATCTCTTTATGATGAAAGAGAAATAGAGAAGTTCTACATGGAGCTAGAGAAGTTCTATAAAGAAGACCACACCTTCTACAAGATCATTGTGGGTGATTTTAATGCCAAGATAGGACCGAGAAGATCAGCTGAAGAACTTCACATCGGGACCCATGGCCTAGTATGGAACGAACAGGGTGAGAGACTGTCTGAGTTCATCATGTCGACCAAGACCTTTCATGGTAACTCACAGTTCCAGAAGGCAGAATCTAAACGATGGACATGGGAGTCTCCCGGTGGACGATTCCACAACGAAATAGACCACATCATATTCAATCGACGGTTTTGCCTGACTGATGTCCCTGTTGACCCTATCGAATATGGTATAGCAATTCTGGAAGTACAGACAAAAATGGTTGTCTGTACTTTCAATGCACGTACACTAGCATCTGATGCATCCATCGAGGACCTGATGGTAAAAGCGCGAAAGATCAAGTACGACATTATTGGGCTGACCGAAACAAGAAGGCATAAATCACATCATGCTGTTTTCGACACTGGAGAAGAATTGTTCCTCGGAACATACCATAAAAGAGGCGTCGGAGGGAGTATGGTGCCGCCAGGAGGTCAATCTGTAATTGTGAGGTGAGTGCATTAGCAACCTTATGGAAACCTCAGACTTTCAGATACCTCCAAATTGCTGCTGTGCCTCTGGCCAGACCCCAAAAACTTGGGGCAAAGTTTACCAAGAAAGTAAACGGCCAAAAGTTAGGTATGTGGAAACACACCAACAAACCACCTCCAGCTCAGCTATATAATTGGAGGCGTGGTCTCTCTGGTTCCTGATCGAACTGCTTAATGGCCATGATCCCAGAGTCTCAGAAACGAATCTTGGAACCCAAAGGCTTTTGGCAGAAATGCGTCCTGTTCCTGCAGTAGGTTAATAGCGCTGGGCCACTCCAGGTGGGAATAGGTTTCGTGCCTTGGCCTGTTCCCCCTGGCAGCCTGGTGACCACTACCCTCCAGAGGCCACTGGACAGTCAGGTTTGGGCCTGCAGTGACGAGACATATGGGGCCTCACCACATGGGGATGGAGCCGACTTTCTCCGCATCCCAAGGAGACCCCCGAGTCGCTGACTACAAATGGCCTATCTGGCTCCTGATCAATCTGATTAATAGCCATGATACTGGAGATTCAGAAACAAATCTTGAAACCCAGCGGCTTTTGGCAGAAATGCATCTGGACTGCATACAAGGTGGCTGCCACCTCAGAGCGTACTGGAAAGCCAGGTATGAGCCGGCGGTGATGGGGCAACTGCAGTCTCATGAGAAGGAGGGCAGTATCGGCTCATCCTTCACGCCCTACTGAGGTCATGAGTTGCCCCCCACAAGCAGCTCTCTGGCATGGCCATGGCTCCAGAGGCAAAAGGACTTAGTCCAGAGCCCAGCAGCTTGCAGAAGAAAAGTGAATGGACCATGCATTAAACTACAGCGCCATGCCTCCCCAGGAGGGAAAGGGTGTTGCTCCCTTCCGCCTTTTTCCCCCCTGGCAGCAAGGTGGCCGCCGCCTCAGAGCTTATAGGAAAGCCAGGTATGAGCCAGAGGTGAAGGGGCAACTGCAGTCTCATGGGAAGGGGGGCGGTACCAGCACGTCCTTCACGCCCTCCCGAGATCATGAGTTACCCCCCA